CGGGCCGGGTATGGAAATAGACGGTGGTAAAACCAAGTCGTTGCAAATTAATAAAAAGTCAAACAAAAAAAAAAGACTCTAAGAATTTTACTTCTTTTTTTGTGTTGTCAAATGGTGCATTTTTTGTCACATTAGTTATATTTTATTCCAGTAAATCTGGCATTAAACTCCTAATTAAAACTGAACTCGCCTTGTGCATCTTCTTGTTTTGTAGAGATCTCTGTCATTATAGACAATACAAAAGTTTTCAATAAGCATGCTGTGTTTAAGTCAATTAAATTCATGGAGCAAAACGTGGGTGGTGAACTAATGAAATATTTGTAACTAGTAAATTTGATTCACATATTCTGATTTCCCCGTCCCCTGATTAAGAAATCCTCTGATACTCCTCTTCTGATTAGGATATTTTTAATGAAATTTAATATTTAAACCTGCTTTAATACAAAAAATATATCATTAATTCAAATAATGCTTTTATAAATCATAAGTTTTCGTTCACTTATATGTGTTAAAAATAAAATAAAACCAGAAAATAAAAAAATAAAAATTCAATCTATGTTGAGTGATTAAATCTTGAAAAAAAGGTAATTTACGTTAATTATTTTGTGAAAATGTAAGAAATTTCACATGCAGGTCCAATTAGTATGTAAATTTATCGCCTTAACATAAAAGAATTAATCAAATTGTGTCCAATATTCATAAAATGTAAAAGAGCACATTCAGTATTTTGTACGAATTTTCTAATGATTGAGACATAACATGCAATAACATGACGTTAAAATGTAACAATGACCAAGGCAGTGTAGCAAAGGTTAATGGAGTAAAATAAATGTGGGAGATGAATATGTGAGGTGACCTGATTCGTTTTAAAAATAGACTTTACCAATCTTAATCTAAAAGCATTAACCTACCACACTCAACTCACCCAAGTAAGTATTTGAGACAAATTTATATTCAACAAGGAACTTTAAAAAAATCTCAGAAATATAGAGTAATTACGTTTTATGTAAAAAAGTAAGATTGTTCTGATTTCTAGCAGTATAAATATGATTTTGTTTCAAAGAAAAATCGAGAAATAATAAGTATAACATTATCTTGTCCTTTTAACTTTCATAATTTTCTTTTATTTTCCTTAACTTAATTTATTTGTCGAATGATTTTTCTTTGCTCCAAAATAAATCATATACTGTGATACGTGAGGGCCGATTGTGGGAATAGACTAGGGGTCTCCAAACTAATGCTCTCTCATCCTGCCCGTGGTGCTCTTTTTGTCTAAATCTTATTTGCTGCTTATGTTTTCTACTTCCGCCCACAGTCAATGAGATGATATGACGTAAAGAAACTGTGGCTATTTTAAGAGAATACATCCTGCGCATACGTCATTAAAACAGCAAACTTCAGAGGAAATATTTACATTCGGAAACTTAAGACCGTGCCTAAAAATGTTCTCAGACAGTTACAAAATCAACATTGTTCAATAAATCCTCAAATGAAAATGAATCCTTAACTACGTCCAATCATAAAGTTGCCTACGTTCTAGATAAACGTGGCAAAACTGTAAACAAATGGTGAAGTAGTGAAGTAATGTGTTTTGGTTGTGGCTGAGAAACTTTGCCCAGAAATGTCAAAACAATTTGAAAATGTAGCTTTGGGGACAAATACCGTTTCCCGCTTTGTTGCAAACATGGGTGAAAAAAATTGTGATTCAAATAGCGAAAGTCCAAGCAAGTTACGCCATTTTTCAATTGCGATGGATGAATCGCTGAACAACTGTTCAACCTCTAAACTGATTGTGTTCATTGGAGGTGTGAATGAAGACATGAACACATGAGCTTTATTCCTAAAAAAAGGACATGCACTGATGGCATTGTTACCAAAGAGGATATATTCTAGGAATTAAAAAAAAAAAAGCATTTACTGATTATAACATTGATTTTACTAACCTCAAATGCCTGTTAGATGATAGATAAAAGGAAATGATTGGCATAAAAATGATTGGTTAGACAAGTGAAGCAGAAGTGTAATAAGAAAAACTTTCTACAACCAATGTTCCTGCACTGTACTATTCCCAAGCTAGTTTTGTGTGCTAAATATGTGGACATTAGAAGTCCACTGAATCTTGTTGGGAAGATGGCAAAATTTAATTAGGTAACACACACTCACCATAAACAGATCAAAGACCAGTTAAAAGATACAAACACAGAATCGGAAAATTTACTAAATTACATAGTAATAAGATTGATAAGTTTTCAGAAAGTTCTGAGAGGAATTTTAAAGTTAAGAAATGAAATAGGTGACTTTCTGGTAAGAAAAGGCAAACATAACTGTCTGATGAAGAGTGGGTAGTGAAATTTGAACTTTGCTGTACACATAACTAGCCATTTACATATTCTGAACCTAAATTTACAAAGAGAGAAAAACCTAGTTTCTGATCTATACAACCACAAAACCACCTTCAAATCCAAACTCGCATTGTTTTTGGAACACGTACAGCCCCAACAGCTTAATGCAATTTCAGCCGTGCAAGGCCTTCAACACTGAAGCAACAGCGGAGTTCACTACGCCATGTGGAAACAAGATCACCAAAGACTTCCAGCGGCTGCAGTTTCAGCAGCGGTTATTGGACTTGGATTCAAAGATATTAGAGACTGTTTGAAAACGTATTTGAAGCAGATGTGGCCTGTTGCCAAGATAAACTGCAGCTGGAGATTATTGAGTTGAAAGCAAATTACCTCCTCAGGGACAATTTCAAAGAAGGACTGGTGGGTTTTTACCAGTTTTGGCCCAAGAAAGACTGTCCTAATGTCAAAACTTTTGCTTCAAGTTATCTTTCAATCTTTAAAACAACATACCTGTGTGAAAAAACGTTTTCAGTTTTGAAATACGTAAAAAGTAATTTAAGAACAAACTTGTTCGATGATGATCTCAGGTCACTGTTGATGTTAGTAACATCAAATCTAAAGCCAAAAATGTCTTCTATTGTTGCATTCAAGAAATTATTTTACCATTCTCACTAATACAGGTGTTTATGTGTAGTGTATCAATGCGTTATTAAATAATAAAAAACACAAATAATATTGAATATATAATAATATTAAATAAATAATGTAAATAGTATCCATATTTCGGCCCCGGAACTGCTGTTTCATAGTTAATGCAGCCTTTGGGATGAAACGTTTGGAGAACCTGGAATATACGGGGCTAAAACCACGTAGTTTCTAATTAAAGAAAAGTCACAAAAACAGACTGAATGCCTTTTAACTCTTTTGTTGTGTTGTCAAGTGGTTAATTTAAATCATACTAGTTATATTTTATTCCAGAAAATCTGTACCAAAAACATTATAAATCAAACTGAACTCACCATATTCATTTTTTCTTGTTGTAGTACTCAAATCCTCAGATTTCACCTCGTCTGAATTCAAGCGCCTCTGAAACCACTCCTCTGATTAGGATATTTTTAATGAAATGTAATTTTTTAAACAGTTTGAATACAAAAAAAATAATTAATTCAAATATTTAAAAAAAAAATTAAATCACCAGTCTCTGTTGACTAATATGTGTTAAAATGAACTAAAATACGAATTTTAAAAATAAAAATTCAATCTATGTTTAGTGATTAAATCTTTTAAAAAGTAATCTTCGTTAATTACTTTGTTGAAATGTAAGAAACTTCGTATGAAGGTCCAGTTAGTATGAAAATGTATCGCCATAACATAAAAGAATTAATCAAACTATGTCGAATATTCATAAAATTTACCAGTGCATATTCATTAATTTTATTTTAAAAAATATTTTAAGGATTTTGTCTCAATTTTCTGATGATTAAGATATAACAAGTAAAATCATGGTTTTAAAATGTTATGAATGACCATGGTTGTTTAGCTAAGGTAATGAGTAAAAACTTTTGAGAATGGGATATGTAAGAAGATCTGATTCCTATTTTATAATATTCTTTACCGATCTTAGACTGAGTTCATGTACCCACCACTTTTAACTCAACCAAGTATATATTCCAGACGTTTTTTCTGTTATTAAGGTCACCTTAAAAATGTTTTTTTTTAAAGTTTAGGATAACAAAAGAGTTTCGTTTTAAAAAAAGCTTAAAGATAATTAATTTTCTCAGGAATATTCATATGATCCCGTTTATTGTAAACACCAAGATGGTTTTGATTTCAATCATTAAATATACGAATTTGTTTTAAATAAAAACTGAGTAAAGTTTATTAGAATAAATATATCCTTTCCTTTATAGCTTTACATAATTAATTTTGTTTTCAAAATTTAAATGCATGATTGAATTATTGTGTGGTTTTTTTTTTGGTCAAGGATAATTAATAAACCGCAAAACGTATGGGCCGGGTGTAAGAATAGACGGTGGTGAAATATATACATGTATATTAATTTTAGAAAAACTAGAAAATGTACAAAAATTCCATTCATTGTTGCTTTTTTATTTGTGCTAAAATAAATATTCATACCCATTGTATTTTTAAATAGTTTAATTTAATTTTGAATCCAGCTTCCATTGCATGAGCATTACCAAAATGTTTTCATTCTTATAATATAATGTATGCAAAATATTAAATAAAAGTTGACTTGGATTGGTTCAAAATAAAGATCACAAGTTTACCTGCCATTAAAATCACTCAAAAATTACAAAGTGATTACAAATACAGTTTAGCTACCAATTACAAAACATTACTTTCTAATACTGGAGTCCTTATAGTTCGTATCACATAAACCCTTAGTGTCCACTCCCCCCCCCCCCCCCCCCCCTGGGTGTCCCCATGTTCTGGTGGCAGAACAATGATGATATACTGCTCTTTTGGCATCCTACTCTTATCACAGTTTAAAAACACTCAATCGAACTCGAAATTTTCTATTTCGTTTGACCAGAGGGACCCCCCCCCCCCCCCAAATCCTCTTTACTTTACAGTGCATCACACCTGTGTCTCTATTGCTTAATGGTAACCAAACGTTGATCTTTAATAGCTCAAATGTTACTTACTCATACAAGCCAAGGACTTTGTGATAGTATTGAGAGAATTGTAGCTTTTCGCCGTGAAAACACGGCCGGGATGACCTGCTATGTTCAGTAGGTCTGTGTAGTCAACTGAATTTCCCACGCCCACTGCAAACATCAATATCTTGTGGTCCTTGGCAGCGTCGGCGACCATTTTAGTTTTACCGAAACTGGATGGAGTGAGTTTAGTTAAAAGAGTTGGGCAGATGTGAATTTTTGTAGCGGAATAGGAGAATTGCTGAGAATTTTCAAGGGCCATCCAGATAAAATTGAATTGTGGCTTGCGCCTCAGAATAATAATGAAAGCGTTGATTTTTGTCGAACATTTAAAGATCCCATCTCCTACACCTTTATAACACTCTGAATGCGCCTTTGAATATTATATCAGAATTATTTAATGATTCCTTTGGTAGGTCTTAAGAAAACTAGCGCTCCATGACACAACAGTTGAAACAGCAATGGATTTTAAAATATGCAATAGCATCCTTACTATACAAAATATTCATGTCTTTCATTGTTAGTAGGATGCCGTCTTTTAAATATCGTCGAATTCGAAAGTATGTCACTGAGACAAATCTAAATTGTCTGTATTGTTTCTTCCTACATCAAAGAAAGTATGTCTAAAATTAGAATATTTTATTTCGATGAGATTTCCTGCATTTTTAAACTATTATATTCTTGGATATTGACGGGTTGGGACACATGCTGCTGGCACTTACTCTTGTGATTTGCCGTCTGTAATGATCAGCCCGACCTTGACCATTCCAGTTCTGACCAAGTTATTGGACATCTGGACCTCGTCCATGTGTTTGATGCCCACGCTTGTATCGGTGTAAACTCCTTCCCCGTGTTTCAATTGACTGATCGCTTTGATGACGTCATTTTTGCGGGAGTATTTGGTGAGGTTGAATGCGTTCTAAACGAAGAATTGTAAAAGATTTAATGAAAAATAGATAATAATGAGCTGGGTACTGGCTCAAATACCCGAAAAAATAACGCACCCGGAACATACTTGGACCAAGCAAAATAGAACCATGTCCGCGTGGTAAAAGAGTATTACCTTCTCATTTTTATTATTAAGTTCACCAATATTATACAAAATATAGAACAAGAGCAATTCACTTATTGAACATAATATTTGTTTCACAGAAGCCGAGTAGACTAATCAGAGCAAAACGCTCACTGAACACNATGAAACATTACCAGAACCAGAACATGTTTCATATCAATCAATATAATTATAGTGGCTTAAAGTATGGTGCCATTGTGAGTGCATTAGTGCGTAACAAAAAAACTCGTGATAACTTGGCAAATTGGATTTCTCAAAAATACGGCGAATTCATTTGGTGAGGAAAGTTTTCTCAAATTAAATAGTCTCAATTTAAGTATAATGTAAAAAATATGTGCTTAAAAATGGGTTGGGGGCGGTGAAATTATATTTTTAATAATGTAACAGGGCGTTAAAAAGTGTACTTTTGCGTAAGTTGTGGGGGGGGGGTGGGGGAGGATAGCAATAATTTGAATTTTATCAAGTTCGTTACTTTAAAACATGTTTTGTCCAGTAATTTTAGTAGATACAAAGTTCAAGCATTGCCATCGCTATTTGATTGGCGAACCATAAGGAGTATGTAATCAACATACAACTGATTGCTGCAAAAGTAAATGTTAGCTAAATTAAACTTAAAAAGTAATACAAATATAATATTGTTTTGATGATGCGCATTTTGTGTAATTATTTGTTTTAGCAAGATGTATAAATTTGCTTATGTCCATGGTATTTTCAATTTACGACAAATATTTTATTTCTGGTGCTGACTGGCTGATGAAAGTCCTACTGAGTTTGTGTATATGTATCTTTTCTAAGTTCTTTCACAGAATTAAATAATTGTTATTTATTTTAAAACTCAATTAATAAGTGAAACAGGTAAATGTCGACACCAGTCGCACAAAGTCATTACTCATTATTTTCAAAAATATATCTCATGAATTATATTTGTAATGATCGATATTTTTTTTACAGTGTTATTTTTTTTAAAAATAAAATATAAGGTTGTCCTGATAATCGAAAAATAAACGGTTTCGGCACAATGGGACACTTTGCTAATAACCGTTAATCAAGTTTTGTATAACCAATTAATGGGTTAATGGGCTTGGAAAAATATTAAAAATATGATCGATTTAAATCTTGATTTTTAATATATAATATTTTAGAACACACGTGATTTTATCAAATACTTTCATGTGCCGAATTAGTGAAGTGCAGGATTTTGAACTTGCTGCCATATATTTACGACGATCCTACGGTCTTTTCCCCATAAAAGTCGATTGTTTGTTGCCTCTGCGATGTCATCGTTGTTAACACAATGACACAGATAATAAATACCACTTAACCCTATAAGCACAAGTTGTGGAAACCCCAACAGCTTTTAATGGCTTATCAAAGTCGTCAATAGTTTTGTTGTTTAAAATTCAATACAATTTGTTTCTCGGGTTTACCTTGCTTGAATTTATAAATAAGAAATGGTTGTACCAGCAACACGCCTGGTAGAAGAGCGGGGTAGGCGTAACTTTTCCCAGTCTTAATTTATTTAGACGACTTTTTCGAAAGACTAAAAACTTAATATCATAATTTTTTTTTTTTTTTTTTTTTTAATAAAAAATAAAATTTTTTGTTAAAAAATTCTACCCAATAATTTTTAAAACAAAATTAATTTTAAAAATTTTGTCACAAATAATACATTTTATATAAAAAAAGCTGTTCTTGACTCTTCACCCAATTTTGATGCCCCACTAGTGGAAATGCTAAAACAAATTATTGTTCATCTCTGCATACAAATAAACATATCATTTTCTCTAAAAGTTAATAATAACATGTCCCTCATTATCTTAAAATTGGCCACCAGTGTGCAAAAAGCCCTATTTTGGTAAACACTGGCCATACCCAAAAAGCTATATAATTTTTATTAATTGTTACATTATCATAAATTTTTAAAATCTAATTCATTTCGTAAAAAGTGGAATAAATAACGCATACACGCAATTAATAAATGGACCCTTTAATAGGCACCTGAAAGTTATCTACAAAATAATTAGTCGATAATCGGCTAGTTGCTAAGCAATGCAACCCTAATTGAATTCCCGAGACATAGCAGCACATAAGAAAAATGTGTAGAGTTTCCAATATCACAGCACAGACACTTTCATTGTAATCATAGAGAAATTGAATGAGAGGAAGACCAAAGGGCACATAAACTTAAACTAGAGTGATAGCATGAGAAAAAAAATAGAGAGAGAGAAAGAAAGAGAGAGATAGAGACAGAAAGATATATAGAAAGAGAGAGAGAGAGAGGGAGAGAGAGAGAGAGATAGAGAGAGGGATAGAGAGGGAGGGGAAATAGTGCAAAGCAGAAAAAGAACGCTTAATCACTTTTAGCCAAACACCCGTCTATCATCCTAACACTGACCGGTTGGTACGTGCCCTTTCCGTATGTGATCAAGGAAACCCTGACGCTCTCGGGACCTATGTTGAACTCTTCAAGGTATTTCTCTAGAAACTCTTTGCAAGCCTTGAAGTCGTGGTCACGGAAAGAGACTGAAGAGTCCAGGACTATACCAAGTTCCATTGGCCCATCATAGCAAACTGTTGATGTTAGGATGTGAGATGTTGAGTTAGGGTTGCAATTTGTGAATGTTGGGATGTTTTGACTGATGAGACGTAAAAGTAGGAGTGTGAGATGTTAATGTACGGAGATAGATGTATGGAGGGCTTTTGTTCTGATCAACACACATCGGGGTCGTCATAGGATTACAAAGGAACGTAAAACAATCGCCTTGAATTGCTTAAATGAAAAAGAGGGAAAGGGTGAGAGATTTAAAAAAAAAAAGAGAGTTAGAATAGGGGAGATAGAGAGAGTTCGCATCTTTTTACATTTTTGTGCTTAAATTGAATGCAATTATAAAAATATTCTCCTGTCATAAGGATAAATTTAATGAAATTTAATATTTTAAACAGTTTTAATTTAAAAAATGTATTTAATTAATTTAAAAAATACTCTTTTTATAAAATCACCCGATTTCGTTAACATCTATATAAAAAAAGTAAAATAAAGGGCCGAATAAAAAAAAAATCAATCTATGTTTAGTGTATAAATCTTGACAAAAAACTAATCTACGTTAATTACTTTGTGGAAATGTTAGAAAATTCAACAAACGCCTTGAAATGCTTAAATGAAAAAAGAAAGAGAGAGCTAAGGACAGAGGTAGAGAGATGAAAACAAGAGAGTTAGAATAGGGGAGATAGAGAGAGTCCGCATATTTTAACTTTATGTACTTTAATTGAATGCCATAATAAAAAAAATATTCTCCTGGTTCCAAATGATAGATATTTTTGTGTGATTCATAAGGAGGGAAGTACACGCAGCTCCGAATTAAATAAAAGTCACCAAATACTGACGGGATGCATTTCAATTCTACTGTTATCTTTGTTTCCCCCACACTAGTTATTTTTTCCATGCACCCTAATAAAACAAAACTAAACTCGGGTTCTGGAGTTGTAAATTCATCTTCTTCCTCTGTGGACAATACATCACATAAACGTATCTGTATTTTGACCCAGTCAATTAAAATTATGCAGAAATGCTTCATTTACTCATGAACTAGAGCCAACGCATAAATGTGCTTCATATCCATCGCCCCACCTCTTAAAAAAATAAATAAATAAAAACTAAATCACTAAAAAAATCTGTTTTTAAAAAACTCCAAAGATTTTTCCTTTTCATTTATGACCTGACAATTAAAATAAAGCGTTCATAATTTAATTTAATGATACATTCATTCATTTTAAATAGCGATTCGATGTCATGATATTGTTACAATGTGAGACTGTTCATATGCAGGGTAAGCTATTAGGTTAAAATATCCAATCAGATCCAATCAGTTCATTAGGTGAACTAGGCGGCCGCCTAGGGTGGCAAATTTTTAGGGGGGGGGGGGCACTATTAATTAAATAATTAGTTGCCTTGGGCGTGGGGGGCGAAGTGCGACATGTTCGCCTAGAGCCACGTGCCTAGCCTAGTTAGGTTAAAATATCCAATCAGATCCAATCAGTTCATTAGGTGAACTAGGCGGCCGCCTAGGGTGGCAAATTTTTAGGGGGGGGGGGGCACTATTAATTCAATAATTAGTTGCCTTGGGCGTGGGGGGCGAAGTGCGACATGTTCGCCTAGAGCCACGTGACTAGCCTAGGAGGCCAAATACTCTGGCGCCGGCCCTGTATCCAATAACATAAATCAGCTAAAAGAATTATATCGCATATTCATTAAGATATCAAAAGAAGCAGAGCCAATCATTTCCTTAATTTATATATAGTTAGCAAACCACCTCAATATTCTGAGGACTGGGACATAATTATTTGATAAGGGAATCTGATAAGCTAGGAATGATCAAGGGAGGCAAACCAGAATAAATGAAGTTGTAGCGTTATGGGAAGCTGATTTGCGAGAAGATTTATCTCATGTAAAGATACACTCAGCAATAATATGTATTACTTCATTTACGTACTAACTTCAAATCTCCACCTCCAGTACATTTATTTTTATCTCCTACTTTTAAATACCATAATAAAATATTGCTTTGTTCCCAGTAGTGAGATATTTATTCGGAAACACAGGTGATTTTTTTTTAAATTTTTGGTTTGGTTGGGGGTGGGGGGGGGGTGATAGGTGCGGAGTATCTCCAAATTAATGAAAAGTGGCAAAGTACTGACTGCGTGCATTTCACCTCTACTATCTATTGTTTTGGTCTATTCATCAATTTCGGTCATACTATTTATTTGTTCCATGAAATCTTAGACAACTCACATAAGGAAACAGAACGGAACTCACCTTCTTCCACCGGTGCTGGTGTTGTAAAATGAGC